TATATACACACAATGGAATGTTATTCAGCCATTAAAAAGAAGGAAATTTTACCATTCGCAATAATATTGATGGACCATGAAGGCATCATGCTAAATTAGGTAAATCAGATAGAATAAGCTTAATACTATATGATCTCATATGTAGAATCTAGAAAAACTGAACTTCTAGAAGCAGAGAGTGGATTGGTGATTGCTGGGGGCCAGGGGTGGAGAGTGGAAGAAATGGGTGAAGGTGATACAAATGTGCAAACGAGCAAAGACCTAACAGTGGATAAGAAGGGAAAAGATAGACCCCAGCCCTGGGGCAAAAAAAGACCCGGCTACCTTTGATCACTAGTTCCTTTTTCTCCTGGGCTCACAGCACATTCCAGCTTACCTTGCAGTTGGGTACAGCCAACTAACTAAATTCTGGCCAAAGATATGCGAGTGGACATACGCATTTCATTTTATTATTCTCTACCTTTTGCCCTCCTCTCACCCATGGGCTAGATGTAGAATGTCTGGAGAGGGGCTCAGGCCCTGGGAGCCAGAAGAACTCCAAGAATGAAGGAGCTTGGTTTCCTGAGTTGCCACTTGGAGAAATCATGCCTGAAAGAGCATGACACCAAGAACACTCATTTCACCGGTGCATGAGCAAAAACTACAACTGGCATAGTTAGGGAGCTAAAGTCAAATCTGTTTGTTTTGGCAGTTGGCCAACTATGACTTCTCTAAGCATATATATGACCAATTTATTCTCATAAGTAGGCTGTATACTGATTCACTTTTTTCCTTGACATTTTACCAAAATCGAACACTGCAATACACTTACTTATCCTCGGTAACAGTGTGGTCCCCGATCGGAAGACACATTTTTTTTCTAAATTAGCTTGATCTTTGTGAGGTTGCACTCACTCAACACGGCTAAATCCTGCAGGACCTTACTTTCAGGAGGGATATTCGAATGCTGGCCCCTTAGCCCGACCCCTTGCACAGGCCCAGTGGGTCAACTACCAGGTATTGATTAGATTTTTGCCTCTTTCTCTGCCTCTGACTCCAAGAACCAAATACTGGAAGCAGCCTTTTGTTTCCTGGACGGGTCTGCCCCAGGACATTGCATTTTTTCCCCTGATTGTCTCTTTCTAAGGAGCTCAGAACTGCATTGAAAAAGAGACCTGACTGCTGGATGGCCTCGCACCCCCTCCAGCTGAGGCAGCTAGGGCTCTTGACTTGCTTTAACCTCATCATCTCTTCCCAGGTCTGATCCACTAGTGAAAGCAGCCAGTCGGTATGAAAGGCTACCCTATTAACGAATGCTTATTTATTTATTTATTCACTCATTCACTATTGGTTGAGCGCCTATCAGGCTCTCTGGGGGGCACAGAGAAGCAAGTGAACTTGACACAGCAGCAGCCCTCAAGAGAGCTCACTCACTGTCATAGGAAGAGCTGGGAGAGAGGCGGACATGTACATAGGCAGTTATGATACTGTGCAAGGTGTGTCATGGAGCAAAGCTCATGGTCAGAATTAACTGAGCTGTGCAAATGTAAGATTTGTGCATTTTGTTGTATGTAACATAATACACTCGAAAAAGTACTGTTTAAAAAGAGCCTATTAAAGCAATTTTTAAAAATAACACTTGTGATTAGCCTCCCCCCTTCCTCGGCTGCAAGGAACACTTCCTTGGGATTTGTTTTCATACTGCATTTATTTAAATACATTTACCTGTTATTTCTTGATGTTTAGTTTGGGCCCTTATTTTCCCTTGAAAATCAAGATGTTTACCGATCCTTGACAAACTAACCTACTTTGGGGGTATTTATGGCATTCTCATTTCACAAGCATCACACAAATTAAAACAGTGCTAAAATACTTTGAAAATATAACAGGCTATGGAAGCTCTAAATGATAACAGAGCAGATGAGGGAAAACTTGCAAGCAATTTAGCAGTTTTGTGTGCACTTTCCCCCAGAGACAAACTGAGTTCAAGCTATCAATATACAAAATCAGCTCTGAGAATAAATTCCAAAATCAAAACAGAACAGATACAACCCTGAAACCCAAAATGTCAAGCAAAACCCAACAAATACAAGCAATAGTCTAAAACAAAATTATGTGCCCCGAATTCTATAATGAAAAGAACATAAATAATTTTTAATGAAAGTATGGGAAAATAACGGGTCATCAAAAATGATCTTTGAAACATAGATATTTAAAAAAATGGTTTCCAACAATGAATAGTTCTGTTTTTTAGGTGTTAAAGTCCTGACACACAGGACACCTGGGTGGCTCAGTGGTTGAGCATCTGTCTTTGGCTCAGGTCATGATCCCGGCGTCCTGGGATCGAGTCCCACATTGGGCTCCCTGCAGGGATCCTGCTTCTCCTTCTGCCTGTGTCTCTGCCTCTCTCTTGGTGTCTCTCATGAGTAAATAAAATAAGTAAACAACAAACAAACAAATAAATAAAATCCTGTCACACTCAGTAAATACTATGAGTACCATATCAAGTAGCAATGTATCTCGCTCTAGGAATGTGTATGTTTATGAGGCTGACCTTAAATTTTTGAAAGTGAGAAGAAATACAATCAGCCATTCCTTCACTGGTGACTCTGCAGTTTGAACTCTAACAAGACCACTTTTATTTCACTATGTTAGGTTAAAGAAAATAGGGTCACTGCTAAGAATGAATGTGACATGGATCACAGATGGGCACTGCACACACAACGGAAAACTAACCTGTGCACGTCTCAGGAACAGAATTGTTCTTTATGTGTATTTGCACTCAAAGACCTGCCGGGATGCACAGTTTACTCGAAGGGCAATGGAGGTACAATGGTTTTCTGCTAGGAGCGACCCCTAAGCACCAAACAATCATTTATTTGCTCTTAAGGAGAACCTGGTTCAACCTTGAATTTCACAGTTGAGGAAACAGAGACCCAAAGAGAGTGTAGCTCTTGCCCAATGTAACCATCGTTATCAACTTCCTCATCATCCTGAATTTACTGTGCCCTCTGTATGGGCTGGCCCCAGAGCTGTACACACACATTGTACCATACCATTCTCTTTTAACAACCCTAGATGTTCTTTTCATCCCTATTTATGAACGAGGAAATGAATGCTCAAAGCAGCTGTGCACCATGCACAGGGGTAGTACGAGCTAACATGTGAGTCCTGACGGTTCCTTCTTCAGGGCCAGCATTACTTAACCACTGCACCAACCTGCTTATTGGTTGTGATGTCATGGTTAGAACCCGGGGCTCGGGTCTACCAAGCAGTCAAGACAGTCACTACACAATTTGTCACAATTTAGGCACTCTCCCTGAGATATTGTGGAGCAAACAAATAAATGAAAAAATTAAACGCACAAAACATAATGCTATGTCCTCACAAATTTATCCGTAACAAATTCTCATCAATATATTTGAAAGAGTGGTTCCATCCATAGAGTTAGTTAGACATGCTTCATTTCCTTTCAAAATTACCTCTCTGTTTTAATCACTATTCTAATAGAAAATAAAAGACCCGGCAAAGAGGGAAAGTGTGCATTTAACTGCCAAGAATTGTGACATGAAAATATGGCTAAGATATATGAGTGTATATTGAAGAAAATAAGAATAAATGTAAACAACAAAGATATAACTGGTGATAAAATTGAACTATTAGTTTTTATTTTTTTATTTTTATTTTTTGAACTATTAGTTTTTAAAATAATTAATATAATATCAACTTTTTGAACCTTCTAATAAAAAGATGGCTGATGTAGTATAGGATATGAATATACACAAACCTGCATTTCCCTAAGGGAAGGTTGATTTATATATATATCAATATACTGTCACTTGAAACTTCTTTATTAAAGCTTTAAAGTCATCTAGCAGGTATTGAATAAAAAGGCCAGCAAGACAGATAAGAATCCATTTTAATCTATAGTAATCAAATGTTTCAGATTTTCTAGGAAAATGCAACCTTAAAGCATATATTTTGTTCACACTCCTTATTACAAAACATAATCCTTATTGCAAAAGATACTCCTTATTTCCACATTTTGCTACCAACATGCCCTGTCCCAGACTTTCTTTTCAAGCCAAAATCAATATATTCAATATCAATGTATTCAACAAATACTCCCTGGCTGTCTGTTATGTGCCAGGCTCTTAGGGTAGAAGAGTGAGGACTAGTCCTATTTTTGCGTTCAGAAAAATAAGTAGCTCTATGTCAACTTGGCGGTGAATTGTACATTAAAATTCAGTTGACCTTTAAAAAAGGCTAAAACTGTCTCCTGTCACCAGATGTGCAATTGCCTGGGAAACCTCTGTAACGGATTCTAAAATGGGCTTTTGTTTTTTCTTTTAAATTCTTCTTAATATTTCAGATAGTAAAGAGTTTTTTTTTTAAATTAAAGATGAAAATGTTTCAAGTTATTAGGAGTTTAAACAGAGTTCATCTCTACAGGAGAACTTAAATATGGATATTCACGTTTTTTGTGGCAAAATCAGATAATTCCTCTAGGATACTGTAGCCAAATGTATTTTTTGAATCCATCAAGAAATATTTTTCACCACTGCTCAATAATCTTAACAACTGTGATTTTGTAAGAGTAATAAATACCCACTTATTATATAAAATATGAACTAAGTGTCCCTTAAAACAGGAACAGATGAGTCGGTTATCACAGATTCACACAAGAGAACAATATGTATCAGCTAAAGAAAATAAACCAGAATTTCAGGGATTAATCTGAAAAAAAATCTTAGATACATAGTATTTTTTCTTCCTTTTTTTATCGTAGCCTTTTATTTGTTAAACAGTCATCTTTAACAATAAAGGGGGAAGGAGAGCAACAAGCAAAAACAGGGGATTTGCAAAGTGGGTGGGAAATGACTATAAGCTGTGGCAAAACAGAAAAGTTTCTGTTGTGTTCTGTGGAGCCAGGAGTGCACAGTGCGGTGAGCTCATCTTTCTTCTCCGGGACAAATGTCTCAAACAGCTTAGGTAGGAGGCTACATGCGACGACTAATGTCCTAATTTTTGCTCTTCAACCACTTTTCTTGATCTTGCTCTCTGACTTGGTTCATTCCAGACTGTTCAATGGATTTGTAATAAATTTCCAAGATGAAGGCAAATTTCTTGCTTACTGTTTGCCTGAAATCTTGGCTTGTGTTCATCTTATTTAACAAAAGACATAAACTCCAAAAACAGCTCACAAGTTCAATTACTAAAACTCCTTTGGCGATCTTCTTCGTCAGTAGTTCCAAAGAGGCAGGTGAGTGATTGGGGAGTGAGAATTGTCTTGCTGTTTACAATGCTGGACCTGAGGTGCTTATACCTGATAACATTTCTATAAAATTTTAACCCATATATAGCAAACCCACATAGGACTAAATGGATGTACCTAGTAAAAATACGAAAACCTGTGTGGACTGATAAACAACAAATTTAGGATAGCGGAGATAAAGAGAAAACACTAGAAATGAGATCAAATAAGAGTATCCAAGGGAGGAAAACATCAAATATTATCTGTACTACAGACCAATAATTCACCTCTAGACGCAATGTACTGGGATTCTAGGGTCCCAGTGCTGACAGCCTTTTGTCCAATGTCAGAAAGTGGTTCTTTCCTCTCATTTAATTTCTTCTAGTTGTTTAAAGTAGGGAAGTAATTCCTGACCTCATTTCCTTGTAGTTTGAATTATAAATCTTATTTAATTCTGAAAAATAGCAAGAAAAGTGGGGGCGGGGGTGGTGCCTGGATGGCTCAGTCAGGTGGCTGCCTTCAGCTCAGGTCATGATCTCAGGGTCCTGGGATCAAGCCCCATGCCAGGCTCCCTGCTCAATATGGAGTCTGCTTTTCTCTGCCCCTTTCCCCCACTCTTTCCTCTCCTTCTCTCTCGCTCTCAAATAAATAAATAAAATATTTTAAAAAGTGGGACTGGGGAGAAAAAAAAGTAAAGAAAATTAAAACCTCTGATATCAACCTAGTAAAATCTTTATTAAGGCCTGGCACTTTGACTTTCCGTTCTGAGATGTTTATGACATTATTCTTTATACTCTTCTATATATTTGAACTATGACACAATTTTAAAAAGTAAATAATTGAAAATAGAAATAAGAGAACACTTGAAAAAAATTCTGACAAGCCGAAAGGAGAGAAGAAATTTTCATTATTTATCATCATAATACTATCATCCTGAAATAGCCACTTCTACATCTTAGTGTATATTCTATAGTCTTATGTGTGGGAAATGGGACCATGCTTTTTGTTACTATTTTTAAAAATTATATTGTAAATACATTTTTGGAATATTAAATATTCATTCTTACATCTTTCCTGAATGGCATTTCATTGTATTTCTGTAAAATGCTTTCTTTAATCAATCCTCCTTTCCTGGAAATGCAGGCTGTTTCGATTTTCGTAATTTTAAATAATGTTTTAATGATCATTCTTCTACATGTATTTTCTATATCTAACTATGATAATTTCCTTAAAATATAATTTTATAAGTAGTTTCTGGGCCAAAACTATGGACAGTTTTTTTTAGGTTTAAAGCATATTTTGAATCGTTGTCCAAAAAGATATTAAGTTATATGGACATAATATGAGAGAGCCCATGTTCTCAGAGCAGCATTTGTTATCTTAAAAATCTTTAATAGTTATATAAAATTGAATTTTAATTTTTTTTACTATTGGAAATTTCCTTTCACATCTTTCCTATATCTTAGCCGGGCGTTTATCTTTTTTCTTATAGTTCTACAAGATTTTTATATTAAATATATTCACCTTTTCTTATGCATTGTGAATATTTTTCCAATGTTGTGTTTTGCCTTTCCTTTTAGTTTAGAGTGTTTTTAATGTCTTGAAATGTATAAGTTAAATCTATCAATATTTCCCTTTATGTTTTCTGCTTATATGTATAGTCATTTATGTAATCTTTCGCATTTCTATTTCACTTTCTACTTGGATATTCAACACATATGGAATTTATTTTAGTATACTTGAGCATACGGTGTTAGGAATCTTATTCTATTTTATTATAGATTATTACAAATAGTTGATCAGCTGTCTCAAAGGCATTTATTGAATAGTCAGACTTAACCTGCTAGCTTGAATTTTTTCCAACACTTAATTTTCAGATATCCTGTTTGTGAATTTTTTGTTCTCGTGCTATAGGCAAATAAATTTTTTTTCACTAAAAGATATATTTCTAGTACATTTTTAAAAGATCTTTAAGAATAAGTTTTCCTACAGAAAATATTGTGTTAAAATTTTAATGCAATTGATATAACTTGAACTCTTGCTTTTTCTTATTTTCACTGCTCTTGGAATTCTAGTCTACTCATGCCTAGAGAAGACAAAAAATATTGAGGCATGATCTATTGATTCCTGACGGTTAGAATCAAATGAAAATCTCAGGAAATTGAATTTATAATCACAATAATTATAATATATCAAGCACAAAGACTTAGACAATACTGACTCTTTGTTGGCTAAAATGTGAATAACAGGAAACTGCAAAGCTGGGATATATTATCCTTAATTGAAGCAACTGTGTGTTATCATCCAACTGAAATCTCAGTTTCACACCTCTATATCTTGTTCCTTCTTTGGGTCAGCGTAAAGGATGAAAATTCAAAGGACACGATCCAAACTTTTTTTTTTTTAAGATTTTATTTATTTATTCATGAGAAACATACAGAGAGGCAGAGACTTAGAGAGAGAGAGAAAAGCAGGCTCCCTGCTGGGAGCCCCATGTGGGGACTTGATCCCCAGACCAGGATCACCCCCGAGCCAAAGAGACACTCAACCACAGAACCACCCAGGCATTGCTGATCCAAACTTTCTTATTCTTATCCTCCTTCTCACCTTGTGGACAATGAGTACTTGCATTTCTTATAATCCCCCTTCTCAAATTACATGAAATTCCACAGTTATCACCATGGAAGAGGGAAGGTACAAAAGGTATCCCCTTCATTGGACAAGCCTCCCTGAGCTTTAAGATCGACATCTGTTGTAGTTTTTAATTAATTGAGCTATAAATGTGTACAATTTAATTGTGATAGAAATTTACGGATGACTTGGCTGAATCATCATGTTTCAAAGAATATGTTTCAGCCCTTTTCTTTCTAGGTCTCCAGAAAACTCAACAACCATTTTGCATGATAGGAATTTTGATATACATAGAGAGAATAGGAACAATGAACTACCATGTGTCCATCACTGAATTTAAGTAATCATCAACATTCTGCTGTTTTTGTCTCAGTAGCCTTTGATATAATGACAGCATCCTCCTTTTCTTCTGATAACGCACTGTCCTAATTTGCCCCTTATCCCTCTAGCAGCTCCTTCTCAGTCTCTTTCTTTTTTCTTTAAACTTTCAGCTTCCCTGTGAACCCAACCACTCCCATGGCTTCATTTACTACATCTGAGCAACTCCTAAATTCATATGTCCTGCTCAGATATCTTTTCTAAGGAGCGTTAAACTCAACATGACCAAACGTGAACACATTATCTTTCATACTCTCCTCAGCACATCTCTTCTTCAGTATCTCAAGAAATTATATATCAATCCAATAATTCATGCCAGAAATAGAGATATAATCCTTGATAATTTTCTCTTCCATAGTAAATTGCCAAATTAGTCAATTTAGTCTCTTAAAAACTTTTCAAATAACGTCTCCTTCTTTTCATCTGCAATGTCAACACAATGATCAGTACTGCCTGAGGAAATGTAATGTAATCCACACATACAAGTCACATGTATAATTTTAAATTTCCTAGTAGCTATATTAAAAAGGAAAAAGAAACAGGTAAAGTTAAATTTAATAAGACATGACATTTAGCTCAACTGATATCTTAAATATTGTTATTAACATGTAATCAATATAAAAATATTATTAATAAGATATTTACATTCTTTTTTTTCTTGCTAAGTCTTGGAAATCTAGAGTGTGTTTTATACTTCTCAGCACATCATAAATTGGACAAACCACATTTCAAGCGCTCAGTAGCCACATGTGGCTAGTGCTCACCACAATGGACAGAGCAACTTTAGTTCAAGCCCTGACCTTCTCTTTTTGCGTGTCATTAATGGGCTTCACACATGTCTGCTTGGTTTCTTTTCAGTTCACTCTTCATGGGCAGCCAGAGTACTTTTTTTCAATGCAAATCTGTCCTATGATTGCAAGCTAAAATCCCTTAGTGACTTCCCAGTTTTTTCTTTTTGGCTAAAGTCTGAAACTCCCAACATAACCTTCAACACCCTCTTTGATCTGATCACATTTGATATCTCCAATCCATGTAAGGTACAAAGTTTCTTTCCATTCACAGCCTTTATGCAAGCTTGAAAAATTTTTGCTCCTATCATAATTCTTAGCTGAAGTTCCACTTACAGAAATCTTCCTTGACACCCCTGTCTTCCTGCTTCTCCCAGAACAGGCTAGGATTCCAATTACATAGTCTTACTATGCACAGTAATTTTAATTCATGGCAGAAATTATTTATGTTATTATTTATTCAACATATTTGGGACTAATAGTCACTCTTGTGTATCTTTCTACCTCCCCACCAATAATAGTACTTAGTACTGAATAAATATAAGTTGAATATATAAATTTGACCCTCTTAGCATTATTCATGTGAGAAAAAGCTGAGGTTACCAAGACAGGCTTAGTCCAATCATGATTCACATCTCCAGGCTAGGGGAGGGACTCTTATACCTTGAGCACAGAGCTACCTCATCCTTGAACAAAATTAATGTTCTGTGAACAAGAGAAAGGGGAAGAGGTGGCTATTGAGTAAGCTACCAGTGCTGTCTACCAGAATTTCCAATTTATCACTGTGATAGACTGCTCACCTACTCTGGCTTTCATCAGCCTGAGAAAAGCAAGGCAGAGCCATCTGGAGATAAATTTGTGGATGGAGGAGTTTTGTTTTGTTTTTAACTATAAAGAGGAAGAAACACACTGTATTAGTCAGGGTTCTGCAGAGAAACAGAACCAATAGGATATATATAGATATATATATAGATATAGATATATGAGGAGATTTATTATAGGAATTGGCTCACGCGATTATGGAGGCTGAGAAGTCCCATAGTCTGCTGTCTGCAAGCTGGAGAACCAGGAAAGCTGATGCTATAATTCAGTCCAAGTCTGAAGGTCAGAATGAGGATCTGCTATTCCAAGGACAGGAGAAGGTGGACATCCCAACTCAAAAACAGAGAGAGAATTTCCTCTTTCTCTGCCTTTTTGTTCTGATAGAGCCCTCAACACTGGTGAGAGGAGATTTCTTTCTCAGTCCATTGATTCAGATCCTAATCTTTTTAGGAAATACCTTCACAGATACACTCAGAAACAATGTTCTATCTTTTGTCCACTCAGGTTGACACGTAAAATTGACCATCACACATGCATTATTAACCAACATTCACAGACATTTTCCTGCATCATCACATTTAGTCTTCCCAATAATTCTCGACAACCTCATTAAGTTGCTGGTATTCCTCATCATCACGCATAACTTACAAAGGAGAAATCTCAAATCAAAAAAGTTAAGTGACTTGTCCAAAGGTGCTCAGAAATCATATGACCTGGAAAGGGACACAGATGTTCTTATTCCCAAATCCAAACTCTTTTCTCTATACCAATGTTCCTTGGTACGAACCTTACCTGGGAACGTGTTAGGAAAGCAAATTTGAGGGCCTTACTACAGACCTAATGATTCAGAAACTCTGGGAGTCCAGCCTAGCAACCCATATTTAACAAGTTATCCAGGTGACTCTGTTGCTCCTAAAGTATGAGAACCACTGCATTACACCCTACTACCCAAACTACTTTCCTCTAAGTTGGTCAATTCCTTTTCTAGTTGTTTTATGATTTGAAAGAAAAAGAAAAATCCACCTTTGCACTCAGGTATATCATAAGAAGTCAAAGTTGGCTTTACCCTGCTTCTACCCTCAAGGGGCTCTTGAATTTAGGGATGCATCCGTTAGGCCCCATTTCCAAGGTTACATTCTTCAGCCAAATGAACAGTGGCCAGTTACTCCCTATATACAGCCTGACTTTGATTTCTGTGTGAGCAAGCAAAGCAAGTGAGTGAAAGTCTGCATCTCATAGAACTTCTTCTCCTTAACAATGAATTACAGTAAACTCTCTCCTCTGCCAAAATGAAAGCCCTTTACCCTCTATTTCCCATTTACTTCTGCGACCCAACCTTTTTACCACAAAACCTGCAGTATTTCTCCTTCTTAAGAAAACAAAAACCTAAAAACATTTCAGTAACTAATAATCATCTCTGACAAAGATGTCCTAATTCTAGCACAAGATAAATCTGTCTTCTTCCAACTTTGCCCCTGTCTTTTGCTACATTATCAGTACTACAGTGATTCTAACCCATTAATCAGGGGCTTATACCCTGCATATTACCTTTTCTCCAGATTTCTGGCATATTTGTGAGAATAAAAGGAATCTCCGACCCAAGGTCAATTTCAGTACCAACTGATATATTGGCAAAGTCTGTGTCTCTCTCTCCCAGTTTTGAGCCCTGGTGCTCTCTATCAGTATCCGCCTGACCATAAGGGTTATCTATAGCCTTTTCCTTCTGCTTAGTTTTCTCAAAGTTCTATATTATCATGTTTTACCATATTGTTTCCCCCAAAGCATGTCTTACACTTTAACCTATTAAAATGATTGGTATGATGATTCCACACAAGAAAAAAACATTGTTCTGACTCTGAAGCCAGGCCAGCATTATATAGCTGATGACCTTGCTCAGTTTCTCATCTATGAGATAGGTTATATGTGGTGGTTCTCAAGTTCCAGGGTACATTAGAATTACCTGGAGAGTTTATAAAAAGAAAAAGTAAAACAGAGTGCTGGGCTTCCCACTGAGTTTCTGATTCAGTCAGTCTAGTGAAGAGCCTGAGAATTTCCATTTCTGACAAAGGTCCCAGGTTATGCTGATGCTGCTTGTCTAGAGATCACACTTGGAGAACTACTGAAATAATGTTATTAGGATGAAAAATCCTATTTGTAAAGTGCCCGGTTCAAAGTAACCACTTAATGAATGTTAGTCTCTTGTCCTCCACCTCTATTCCACATGTCCTCAAAGCAAAGGAAATAGATGATAAAAATGAATTAATGACATTGGGTTTGAATGGAATTGAGCTAAATGCAATTATCTCTGGGCAAAGCCTTTCTGGAAATAAACCAAAAGATATATTTCTGTGAGAATAAACTAAAGGAGATATTTTAGGTAAATGAATCTTTAGAAGCTATTGATAAGTATTGGCAAAGGCATCAGACAAAGACATATCTACACATTGTCAGGAGAAAAATAACAGTATATATAATTTTAGAGGACAATTTGGTAATACCTACCAAAATGTGAAAGATACATAAATTTTGAGCCAGCATTTCACTTCTAGAAATACGTCCTTCAGAAATACATACAGATGCACAGAAATATAGTGCAATATATTTGCATAACAGCTCCTAAACCCAAGTATATATGAAATGTAATTTTTTTTTCCTGTAAGTCAACTTGATTTATACTTCAAGCCCATTGCACTAGGTGGTAAAAATAAATCCCATTCATTTCAGGATTCATTTCCTGACATTTTTGTAGAGTTGCAGCTGAGAACCAGGGGGCGTGCACAGAGCAGAGGCATCGGGGTATGTACAGATAATTGATCTTATGTCATCATCCATCCATGCTGTCATCTCCTGGCTTGGCCACCATTCGGTTAGTACTCATTAGATTTTATGTACAGATTACTGCTACCTTATTGCATGATTTGTTCCTTGCAGTCCCATCCTACCTGCTGCTTCTACTACCCGCATACCATGCCAAGTGCTATGAAGGCTGAGACCCTCACTCTTTTGATGACACTTTCAGATGCTTGGGATTGTTGTGATGTTTCTGTGTCTTATTAATTCTGAGATTGTCTAGGGCTCTAATAAACTAATAACTTCTTATTTTCTTTTTTACTCCTACGTACTGAGTAAATCAATAAAATTTAATGGCCAATTTTGAAAGCGTCACAGATTTGCCATTTGGAACCTCGTATTGCTTTAGTTTTTATCAAATACCGAAGAAAGGAAAATAACCATTTTGATGGTGAAAAATCTTGTTTTCAAGACAAGTCCCAGATGTAAGCCACTCCTTAATCAGTGACTCAGTGATTATAACTTAGCAACATGCAAGTCTGTGTTAGCTATATATAGCTCTATTTTTGTATGCATTGAAATGAGCCTCTGATGGTCAAAATAGTTTTGTATTTTCAAAACGATAGCAGCTGTTTATCCTTAATTTTGAGAATAATTTGGGGGAGTTATGTACTTTACTTTTTACCCAAAAGACAGGAATGACTTCACTGTTTAGATACAGAAAGAAATATGTTAAATCGTTCAACCAATGCTGCTTGGAATAGACTTCTTTAAAGCATATTTTGATTGTGTAACTGTTCTGAACTAAACTTGGCTTGTGAAGTCTCTGGATGTTACATAACTCCTGAAAAATACAAAAGTAAGAAGGAAAGACAGAATTAAATAAAAGACAATAAGGTTGATGCATTTCAGCATACATTTTTTTTTAAGTAGCCATAAAGTGCCAGATGTTGTAATATAAAGATAGCTAGAACACAGCTCCTTCAATGACTCGGACTCGGTGGGGAGAAAATCAAGTAATAGAGACAAAATTCCAACAAACAATAAATACAAAGTACAAAGCCAGATAGCATATACCCTATCTGAAGAAAGGCTTCACAGTGAAGGTCATATTTAATCTGTGGTGGAAGAGGGAAAGAAGCATGTTCAAAAAATAGGGACAGAATTTACCAAGATAGGTGTCATTAGACTACAAGCTCTGCGTTAGGAGGAAGAATGTCTGATTTACCTATCATATGTTTAATGCCTAGAAGAGTGATTGATGCATGAGGTAATCGATATATATTTGTTGAATGACTGAAAACATGATTTCAAGTAAAGGTAAGTAGTTCCAGTTTGTTCTACTGGACTAAAGCACAGAAAGATCAAGGTTAACTGATAAGAGAGTCTAGAAAGGGAGGCAAAGACCAAACGCCCTAACTTTGATCTTTTAAGGAATTGGGATTTTTGTCTTAGAGACAATGGGAAACCATTAATAGCATTTGAGTAGGGCAATGACACAAGTGAGTATGTAGTAGCATGTTGGAACTAGAGCTAAGTGCTTGGAAATAGGGCACATAGGTGAAGACGAGTGCAAAGTACTGTATCATATTATAAAAAGAACAATTATTCAGGCAACAGACTTTATCTTGACCTTCCTTGACCATCACCCCCTTTCCCACAATCACATATAAGCAGCACTGGGAAAAATGAAAAGAGGAAGTGTAAGCTTTTTGGTGAGGAGGAATGCCCCTCTTTTGGCCAGCATGTCTGGACAACCCTATAGTTTCTACTCCCTCCTCTAACCTCCATGCCTTTTCACAGGAAGCCATGAGAAATAAAATAGTCCTCTTTTGTTCTTTCCAAGAGCCACAGGACTTGGGGATGATGATCCTCCTCCCTCCCTTTGAGTTTTCTTCATAGGCAAATTATAAAATAGTCCTTTTGGCTAAGCAAACTTGCTAGGTAAGCTTCCTGCTTTCATACATTTCTAGACTAGAAAGAGAGAGCAGCCTCCATGTTCCAGTTCAAGAGTTACCTTCAGGGTATACCAATCAAACATTCCCAATGATTCACCATGTTCTTTACTGCATTCTAATGTTCCACCAGAGTGGTTTCCAGGTAACCGATCAAGCCTCCAACCAGGAATAAAAATAAAATGCATCGCTCCATCTCTCTCAAGGACCCTCAAGATCTTATTCAACCCTTAACCTCTAAGCCTCATTACTTGACTGGTAGGGGTGGATGGAATGCGGACATAGGAAGGAGGTGGGAAAGCTTCTGTCTATAAGCATCGTTCTTGGGAGTCATTGTTTGGTTGAATTTGAGATTGCAGGAGGAATAATTCTCCCACTTTTTAGTTTAGAGGGTAACTTAGCTGTTTCTGGCTGTTCTCTTTGAAAGTTAAGGTAATTAGCACTTCTTGTCCTTATCTATGAGTCCAAGAAGCCAATTTCAGCGCAATAGGAAAAGTTTCACTCAACATTTACCACTGGTTCCCAACAGGAATATAATGCAAGCCACATATGCAATTCTTTTTTTTTTTTAATTTTATTTATTTATTCATTAGACTCAGAGAGAGAGAGAGAGGCAGAGACACAGGCAGAGGGAGAAGCAGGCTCCATGCAGGGAGCCCGACGTGGGACTCAATCCCAGGTCTCCAGGATCACGCCCTGGGCCAAAGGGCGTGTTTAACCCCTGAGCCATCTGGGCTGCCCAACACATATGCAATTCTAAATTTTTCTAGTAACCATATTAAAAGATATAAAATGAAATAATTGAATTTTATAGTATACTTCAAACCAATATACCCAAAATATATTTCTACATGTGATCAATAAAAAATTATTGAAGAGATAATTTTCATTCCTTTCTTCATACTGTCTTCAAAATCTAGTATTTACTTTATAATTACAGAATATCTCAATTTGGTCTAGACTCATTTCAAGTGCCCAGAACCCATTTTAAACAAAGTTATTTATGTTATTATAGATTATCTTGTGACAAAAGCTAACAATGGTTCCTTACAATGTGCATAGAATAAATCCAACTTCCTATTATACATGTATTTGTGTTTTAGACAATTGAGTGAAAGGGAAGATACCTAATGCAAGTCTCCTTCTTTTTCCACAGGCTTAAAAATACCACCTCCTAGTGTGTCATTACTTACTAAACAATTATTTATAAACTCTGTTGTTTTAAAATATCGGAAAGGACTATTTTTTTTTGTAAGTCACTGCCTAATTAGATAGAGATAAATTTTCAGAATAACTTTTCTGTAAACTTTGTACCACAACTTAAAAAAAAATCGATGGAATTTGTTATCTCTTAAAACACAAATCAAGCTTTTCTTCCACAAAGGCAGCTCAGTGTCACCCTTCGCAGATGGATAGGTCTACTTTCAATGGCCTGGTATCTGAACATGGGCTGGATATGCCCCATCTGCTGTTTCAGATTTATTTCTTCAGACTGAGCAAGAATGAGTCAAGAATCAAGAGTAAAACTGCAGTCATTACCTTTTAAACTTATTTATTTTTTGTTGTTGGTTTGGCAGGTTGCCTCATTTCACAGAGACTTTATGACGTGCTTATGTTTTACTTTTGAAGGTGAGAACTGTGATCTAATCTGTATTCTGTGTGTTGCTTAGTACACTGGGGGTGCATAATAAATATTAAACAGGAAGACTTTATTGAATCACTCTATACCGTACACTTCCTAGTTTATCCATTGTGCCAAGCTTCCACTACAGAACCATTATGAATAGATGGGTGGCTGGATAGATTCACAAGTGAATTTATTTGATAGTTCGCTGCCAAAATTTTGCTACCTATAATGAAATCATATTTCTTGGTCTTCTCCCATGAATCACAAGGAGAACAGTCTCACTTACATTAATATGAAGCCTAAATTTGAACAAATATATAGTAGGCTCTCTGTGTCTGAAAAAATTTAAAGCAGAAGTTAAAGCCCAATAAACTCCATTTCCATCAACTCATAAAACCAGAACCTCCAAAATGACTTTCTGGCACCTCAAAATCAAAACATTTTAATAATATCAGGATATATGGAAGCTATAACATTGATTCCAGTTTATTTGAAATTGAATTATATTCAGCACATTTTAATGCTAAAAATGTTTTATTCCTTCAAGCAACTAATTTTTTTAACTCATTGATTTTACAAGATTTTATAGAGCACCTATTATGCTCCAGGCATTGTTTCCAGGCTCTGAAAAACATAAAAAATCCTACTTTAATGGAATGCACATTTTATTGGAATATTTAACTCAATAGGTACTCAATCAAAATATTTAAAACACTTAATATAATCAACTAGTTTTTTTTTTAATTCATTCCCACTTAACAGAAAATCCACAAGGTATGTGGTAGAGGTAGGGCAATCATCAAGATTATTTGATACAAAACTTGTTCTTTTCACGAAACTGTGATAAGTACTTGTCTTTTTATTCAACTTGTCCAGGATTAGGTTAGGAAAGCTACAAGGTCTCTTATAACTCTACAACATTTTTCCTCCTATGTTCTATAATAGGATATTGTAATCCAAATAAATCTCAAGAAAATCAGGTTTCAATTTGAAAATGAATAAGGCTAAAAATAATACTGAGAAAGCAACCCATTCCTAAAGGGTTCTTAAGAGGAAAGCTTATGAAAAACTTGAGCATAAAAATGCAATAAAGGGGATCCCTGGGTGGCTCACCGGTTTGGTGCCTGCCTTGGGCCCAGGGCGCGGTCCTGGAGTCCCGGGATTGAGTCCCGCATCGGGCTCCTGGCATGGAGCCTGCTCCTCCCTCTGCCTGTGTCTCTGCCTCTCTCTCTCCCTATGTCTATCGTGAGTAAATAAATAAAATCTTTAAAAAATATTTTAAAAAGTGCAGTAAAATCATGTCCTTATAGATCTGATTAAAATGATAGAAATTATATTGTAAACTGGAACCATTCCATTTTATATTCAAATATATTAACCTGTACTCTTCCAGAATTGTTCTGAAATGTTTCTCGGCTAAGATTTTATTATCTGCCTATATATCATATATGTCCATATTATGAGTTCCCTTTGACCTCTTCAAATAATAAGACTTTCTCCCTTCTCCCGAAAGCCTCCCACAGTCAAATTGCTTCACACTGTCTTAAATGCCTATTACAAATATATCTGTGTCTTAAAAGGTTAGCTTAAAAGGTGGTAGAGAGGAAAAGTGATGTAGGAGACAAACAGGAGATTGGGAGAGACAACTCCTTAGTAATTAGAGACCATTCAATTATTTAGAAAATCACTTGTTTTAAACTTTTTAAGAGAAATGTTGTTCCAGATAGACTCTCTTATTTATTTATTTATTTATTTATTTATTTATTTATTTATTTATTTATTTATTTATTTTTAAAGATTTTATTTATTTATTCCTGAGAGACACAGAGAGAAGCAGAGACATAGACAGAGGGAAAAGCAGGCTCCATGCAGGGAACCCAATGCAGAACTCAATCCTGGGACTACGGAGTCACGCCCTAAGCCAAAGGCAGACTATCAACCCCTGAGCCACTGGACTGTCTTCTTTAAATAAAGGCTAGTTTCTAAAAGTTTTCTTTGAATTTTGTATCACAGCTTTAAAAATTAAAATTAAAAAATTAAAATTAAATTAATTAATTTAATTAAATGAATAATTAAGTCTATTATCTCTTAAACCACCAATCAACCTTTGCTGAGTGAAGAAAATCAAGGCATTCCACTTGCAAATGAAAGGATGGATCTACCTTTCAATACCACAATATCACAACATTCTGAACCCCTAGATTATCTTCTTAATTCTACTCTATATTATAACTGCTTTCTGAAATTTCCATTTCTTAAAGAAGTTGGTATCTGAAAATCAAAATGATACCTTCCAGTCGCCTCTCTGAACTTCTCTTGATTTCATACATTCCAAAAGCATTTGTTAAATTGTTTTCTCTACCAGATGCTATTTCACAGGCACGCAAAAATGAGTGTCATATTACCTGCTCTCCACTCAGAGCCTAGAAAAGAGAGAGATGAGAAAAAATGGAGCTAAGGGAAGTGATAGAGATGTGCATACTCTCATGAAAGTATTGTGAAAGGGTCTCCAGTCTAGGCTAAGGACTCAATGCGGAGGTTTCTCTGGTGAACATGGTGCTCGAGAGAATCTGAAAGTGATTGGGATTCCTTAGGGAAGCATGTAGGCAAGTTGCCTTTGCTCTTTCCTGAAATTTATACTCATCGTGAAACTCATTGGTATATTCCATACTCTTCATATCTCCCACTCTATATAGTGAGTTCTATAAATCAAGACCCATATCTGGCACAAATTTCTCTTTTGAACAGAGTCTAAAATCATGTCTTTAAGACAAACTCTCAGTCAAGCAGTCTCATTCTGTAATACATAGGTGATTTGGGATTAAGAGATGTATAAGCCCAGTGAAAAGGTTTATATTAATTACTTCAGAAATACATCTTGCAGGACCTGACATTTTTCTCATATTGAAGCAGATATAGGCATTTGAAGCCTTTTAAGAAATAACTGAGTAACTCTCAATTTCCATTTGCTTACTGAATCAAGAACCATGAGGTAACCCTAAGAGAGTCATTTTCATTCTGTTCAGCCTGCATTTTGTCAAACCTCACATCAGAACGGGGTAGACAACATAAACGAATACTGAATGGTGCTAAAGAGGGTAACTTTTCATACCATATATCAAAATGATAGCACTGAAAAATCGATGCAAGACAAAGCAATTTCAACCCAAAGTGACTGAACTGTAGCTTCCTTATCCCTCTGCTCTCACCTCCCTGGTCAGTCCCAAGATTTACAGCAGAATGCTAACACATGGGTTTGTATTTGGGTATAAATGCACACACACACACACACAATTCTGGTAAATTATAATCCTAATTGCCTATAGCAATGATGTCTGATTAATATATTAGAATCAAAATGCTTCTTTATTACTTTTCCACATTTTCTTTCTTTCTTTTTTTTTTTTTTTGCAATGGATGTGGATTACATTGATCATCAGATCTATTGTGCTATTAAAATTCTCACCTCAACTTTCCTCATTCTCCATGTGTGATGTGTGTCCTATAGGTTCTCTCTATTCCCAGCCCCATGACTCGGACCTTGGTCTCTAACCAGTGTAT